GAAAAATGTAAAATAAAAAGTTCTAATATTGTTTTCACGTATGGCAATATTTTTCTCAGGTGTGGCAATTGCCACCAATTGCCTCGTGGTGGCCCGCCGATGTGTGGTTTTGATAAATCATTTCTATTAGCATTGTTTTCACCATAACTTAAACGAAAAATTTTATTGTTTATCCAAATCTAAATAAATTTTTATCCTTTTTATAAGCAATAAATAGAAATAGAAAACCTGATCGTTTAAATGATTTTTTAATATTCTTTTGACAAGTTTTTAACGATAAATTTTCTACCAAAAATATTTGTTACTTTGCATCATAATCATTTCAACTACCTATGATAATAGATAAAATTTAAAAAATGTGTTTTTCGATGAGTTGAAATCACACTACAGTAGTAATTCATTTTTTTTCATTATTGAAATTATCTGATGTGAGAAGTTTGTCAAAAATTAATGTTAAAATATAGATTGATTCATCTTGAATCCATTTACGAACAGGAATATGAAGACTATGATTAGAACTTTTTATTTTACATTTTTCTCTAAACAATATTCTGTTTAACAGAGACTTTGTATTTATTTTTATGTTTGAAGAAAAACCTACTGATTGATAGCAACTTCAATGGATGTCATTATTGAATTATGTTGCCTATTATCAGTAGTATTGACAAAATGGAATATAAAGAGTGTGCATGCAAGAGTTTTTAATTGTGAAAATTATTTTTTTTTACCAAGAATTTCGTCGAAAATTTAATAAAGATTAGAAATAAACGTTGTTTTCTTTTGATAATTTTCGAAGTATCTGCAGTTGTTTCATCAGAAATCCATATTTCCTATCAGTAATAATTCAAAAAGAAATGTATAGAAATAATAATTTTACTTCTTGACATGATTTATTTGAATCAATATATGTTTCAGATCGTGTAAGAATATCGAATTGTTCGAGAAGTTGACAAGTTTGTCCATATTTATTTGATGTATCTATTGCTTATGAATTTATTTATTGAAGATGCTATATTAGAAAAGCAACGTTATTCATAGAAATAGCATTTACAAACACATATAACGATAGATATCTGTCTGTTGTTGTACCAAATCTAAAAATGAATCATAGTTCTTTATGAACCAACTTTTGTTTATTCCTCTCCGCTTAAATACTACAATTGAAATAACTTACGTCCATTCCTCTTCGTTTAAATAATCGTGTCACATGTATATGTTGTTCGAATCTATAGTTTATTCTTTTGGAATAAATCTTTGTAATGAATTTCTATTTCTAGGGGTTATTGCTTTTATATTCAGATGATTAGTCAATTTAATATGAACATGATTCTTGTTCATTGAACTTGTACAAATATGTACAAATTATTATTTCGATGAAATCAACATGTAATTCAATATTTCGTAATATATACATATAAAAAAGAACCAGTTTTCATTTAATTTCAATAGATGCCCTTCCCTTCTATTTAAACTATATAAATATAATATAGGAGTTAGGAAAAATCTTTTATATTTGTTATAAATATTCAAGAGAATTGATTTTTTGGAAAGACAATATTTATTATTAGAATTGAGAAAATATTTATGTAAATCAAGTTTTGTTTAACTCGTTATTTTATTTATTTCAATAGAGCATATTAATATACTACTAGAAACAGAAAGTCGTCTAAAAATGATATATTTCTCGCATTTGTGCTACAAAGAAAGTTTTCTGGTTCTACATTTGACAAAAGTAGAAATTAATGTGCATGTTGTATTGAAATTGAAATATGTTACTCATTATAAATATGCCGCAATGGAACTAATGAATTCTTTCACAACAAGTGTCACTAATCTCATTGTTTTGTACTAGCAAAGAATTAATTAACCATAGTCAAATATCCCCATATTAAATTAGTAGTCGTCATCATCTGTGTAAAAATGTAGGTGCAATATGATAATAAATATTACATTTTTAATGCATGCTTTTGCACCGTTCTAAATTCTAAATATAATCCTTTCATGTGAATTTTCACTCATTATACTATCACACATTTGAGATAATTAAGAGAGCACCCATGAGCCGGTCAAGGAATCGAAGCACTC